ATTTAGAACAGTGCTTAGAAGGACCTGAGTTCCTGCTCCAAGGCTGCTGCCTCTGAACTAGTTATGTCCCATGCGGTATGGCCTTGACTCCCCTCGAAGTTAGAAACAAGTTGAAATTGATCGTTTCTAAAATCCCTTACAGTTTTCAAGTGACAAGAGTAAATGAAATAGAGTTCAGTGGCTAAAACAGTTCAAGTTCAAGTGGGTGATGGGTGAGAAGAAGCAAGAACAAGCATGGAGTTTGTTAAGAATATGAGCGTCCTGGGGCTGTAGAGATGACTCAGCCTTTAAAGGCACTGACTGATCTTGTAGAAAACCCAGGTTCAGTTCACAGCACTTAAACCAGGCTGGTCAAAACTCCCTGTAATTCCAATTCTAGGGTTTCTGGCACCGTTTTCTGATCTCTGCAGGCTCCTGCATGCCTGTGGTGCACATAAACTCACTCAGGCAAACACACATACACATAAATAAAAAGAAATGGGAACCTCCTAACCCTAATTCACACTATATAATATCATGTTATATAACACTACATAACATCTAGTTGTATCAATATAGTCCTGTATTTTCACTGTCAGATGGTAAGAATCTAAATAAACAACCATTTTTGTACATGAGCTACTTAATGAAAAAAACATAACTTTCCAGCCTAATGGCAACTGTGCTCCTGTGAATGTTGTAAAACCCAAATTGTTTTAGCCCTTTTCTCTTTGGTAAAGTAGGTCAGGTTGGACTTTGTATGAAACTGACTAAATTTTACTTTTAGGCAATGTTTTAGGTCAGAGAAATATGATAGCTTCAATGTTACCTGCATTTTATAAAGACATTGGACATCATTTTATTATCTTTGGTAGATAAGAAATAGTGAGATCAGCACTCTGGTGAATATGAAACTTGGGGTTATCTGATGAGGTTATACAGATTCTTATCTTTACAGCCCTTTTCACTATGTTACACTGTATAACATTGCAGTGCCATGAATAAAAATACTGATGGCTTGCCAGTCAGCTAGCCAGGATATTGTACATAGCAAGAGATAACACCGATCTCAGCAGGCAGCACCTGAGAGCGAAATGGGGCAGGATGAAGTATCATGGCCTCCTCACACACTTCCTAAGAACAAAAGGCCTCCACTGCTTTCTGTGTGACATATCACAAGAGTATTGTGAATTATCTTTTTTACCTACTCATGCCTCTTCATTTCCCAAAGGAAACCAAATCGGCCAAGTTTTACAGTATGTCTTACCACAAAATTATATGACAAGATGAGCAAATTATATGTGCATATATTGCCCTCCTTTTCCATTTTATAAAAATGAGTGTATTATTCATACTGTTTTTTTTTCTTATAGCAGTTTTTGTTAGCATTTGCCCATGTTGATATTATTATTTAAGTTGGAGCGTAGTATTACAGGAGATACAGGATAGTTTAGTTAAGAGGTCTAGTGCTGATAGATATTTTGGCTCTTTGTAGACTTTTATTGTGAACAGTATAGTAATCAGTAACTGCTTAATAGTTTTATTTATGAGGTAAAGTTTTAAAAGGGGCATTGCTAGGTCAAACAGGAGTTCTACTTTCTAATGTCAGTATTATCAACCTTGAGCTCTTGTACCACACACACACACACACACACACTTCCATAGATATTATTATTATTATTAAATTAGATTAGATATATTAAGATAATCTTGATAGTAGATATTATATGAATTGAGATGTATGTGTTATGGTTAGAGATTTAGACTCTGTCAAATCTATTAGTTCGCAAAATATAGCCCCTTGACTAGGACCATCCCCATTGTCTCTTGGGATCTGGTTGGAAATGCAAACTCCTTCCTCCCTTCTAAATCAGAGCCTCTGGGGTCTTGGCAGCCTGCCTGGCAATTGTTTTCTGAAGTATTATGAAAGAGAAACAGTCACTTGCCAGGAGCACAGCTACTGGCCTTTGTGGTGTTTCTTTTGGAATTTGCTATTTTTCTTGTTTTAATTATCTTAAAAAAAAAAGACATTTTGCTTTTGAAGTGCTCAATATTAAAAATAGGTGAAGGGGCTGGAGAGATGGCTCAGTGGTTAAGAACACTGGCTGTTCTTGCAGAAGACCCGGGTTCGAATCCCAGCACCCACATGGCAGCTAACAACTGTCCGTAACTCCAGTTCCAGGGGATCTGACAACATCTTCTGTCCTCCACAGGCATTGCACAACATGGGTGCACTTACCTACATGCAGGCAATACACACATACACATAAAATAAAAATAATGAAATTCTTTAAAATAGGTGAATATTCCTTTCTTCTTTTTTTTTTTTTTTTTTGTCTTTTTGAAGCAGGATCTCCCTGTAGCCCCAGCTGTCCTGGAACTCACTATGTAGACCAGACTGGCCTTGAACTCACAGAGATCTGCCTGCCTCTGCCTCCCAAGTGCTGGGACTACAGGTGTGCGCCACCAAGCCTGGCTTCTCCCTTCTTTTTTAAAATTTGTATTTCTCTGCTCTTTGTTTTTGGTATATGGCAAATGAAAATGAATACTCTTTGAAATTTACCTAACAGTTGTTTTTAGTCAGGTGACTTTTAAAAACCAATACATTGGCTCTTTACTATTTTTCACATACAAATCTTTTTGTTGTCTCAAATGGCGGCTTTTGACCTTTTTTTAATGCCTCTTTTCCTCATTTTTCGTTTTCAGTTTCCTAGCTCCACCCCACTCTTCCCCACACCTGCTCCTGATTATTTCTCTCTCTGTTTCACCCGCTTGCTTGCCCTCGCTTTCTACTTTGGAAGTGCTAGGGTCATTTACTCTCAATGAAATGTCCTGCCCTTTGATTATCCTCCTTTTGCTGTGTTTTTGTTTGACTTTACTTTTATTTCTGTGCTTTTGTGCCAGTCTCTTGCTCATGTAAGGACCACGGTTCACCTACATCCCCTTCGCTCTTTGCACTTCTTTGCACATACTAGTTGGTAGTTGCTTGCATTTATTCTCAGACATATTTGGGAATCAGTGTTAACAGAGAACATGTTCTGGAGGTACGTTTGCACACTTGTGCTGCCCACCGATTTCTCAAACTATGGAGTAGTGGGATAGTGAGCATGCACAGGAGTGGGTCTACTCAGCCCATTAGCTCAGTTTAAAGCTGAAGGGTAGCCAGTCCACAGCCATTAAAACTATTTTTTCGGTCCTGTTATATCTAGATACTTATTTATTTATTTACTCGTTTGCTTGTTTGTCCGTCCATCCATCCATCTATCTATTTATTTATTTATTTTGGTCTTTTTGAGACAGGGTCTCCCTGTAGTCCCAGCTGCCCTGGAACTCACTATGTAGACCAGCTGGCCTTGAACTCACCGGCCAAGGTCCCCCTGCCTCTGCCTCCCAAGTGGTGGGAGTAAAGGCATGTGCCCACCACGCCCTGTGCTAGATACATTTTATGTTGATGATAGTGTTTCTGGTGTTGTTTATATAAAGGACAACCCAGTTTTTACTTTTGTTTTATATCAGCATAGGTTTAAGCATGTTCCCTTTTTGTGAATGTGAAACTTAAAAATACGGTATCAGCAAGTTTTTTAAGTCTTTGCAAAATTCTCCCTAAAGGAGCCACTCTGGCTATATTATGCTAAGTGTCTGTGAGCCCATACTAACTGCTTCCTATTGATGAAGTTTCCTGTTCTTATTAAGGTACAAAGTGCTAGATTATCCCCACATGCTAGTCAAAGAAGAATATATATGCTACATTGTGTAATAGTGACATTTTTATTTCAAATTTGCTATAAAGGACTATAACTTTATACTTGAAACTAAGTTTGTGTGTGTGTGTGTGTGTGTGTGTGTGTGTGTATAGGACTTAAGATATGCTCTGTAATGTTCTGAAGAGCTTTTGAACAGCAGCAGCATCTCAGTGATGGCTTTTTAGATGGTGGTTGCTGGTCTGCTTTCAGTAATGGGCTTTTAGCTCATCAGGCATATGTTCTAAAGGCGTGTTTGAGGAGTGAGATAGTGTTATGGCTGGCCCAGGGCCAAAGCTGACAACTTTGAATGTGTCACTTTAGTGAATTTTGAAAAAAGTTTTCCTCATAACACCTCATTTAGAAAAAGTTTTTAGCTCATTGTGTTGAAAATGAAGAACTGGAATGCTTTAGTAAAATTTTGTGATTGAAAATAAATTTTAAGTGTGACACAGTAATGCAAACCTGTAATCCCAACAACTTGGGAGGCTGCGGCAGGAACATTTATAAGTTCAAGGCCATACTGGGCTACATAGAAGAATCTTATCTTAATAAGTTATAAAAACTAAATATAATAAAGACCCCATTTAGAGACTGTATTACTTCTGCAGTTGTATATTAGAACTTATATACTTCAGTCTCTTTGATTACTGTTTTGTTGTTTTGAGATAGGGTCTCCATAGGTAGTCCAAACTGGCCTCAGAATCTAGATCTTCCTGCCGTGAACTCCCAAGTGTTGAGATTACAGGCATATGCTATCCTGTTACTATTTTGAAGGTAATAACTTTTAACTTTATTATAATGTCATAAGCTTATACATTTTTGTTAAATTGTACCTAAAGTAAGCAAAACCATTTTGTCATCTTTAGAATAGCTTAAAATCTCAATTCTGATCCTTTTCAATCTTGTTCATAATCCACTTTTCAAAGTAATTTTTAATATTCAGTTTCTTCATTCATTTTTCTGACTTAACATAGTGTTGATTTCTTGCTGGGTGGTAGGCCCTGTGAATTCTTTTTCTGTTTGTAGATAACATAGGATTTAGAGATTCTGTAAGTAGGAAGAATTCTGCCCAATAACTTTCATATTTCATAATATAAAGTATGAACTTTATTACTTTTGTGCCATCAACTAGAAGCTGATGGTCTGTCCCAGGTGATTGGAGGCCAGGTTGGCTGGATGTCGGAAGGTAGAGCTGCATCTCTTCTCCAGGTGCTGATCACAGTACCAGTTTCCCACGTAAGTGTCAAACTAAACTTTTTCATTCTTCCTTTTTTTTAGTGAGCATTTGTCCTGTGCTTTCACGTTCTTTCTTCATGGAGAAAGTAATGTGTGTACAAGTGTGGAGATTGCCCAACACCAGCCAATTTATTTGATCAACGAAGAGCATATACACATGGCTCAGTCTTCACCTGCACCATTTCAAGGTAAGACAAAGGCATTGTGTCCACTCTCAATCCTGCACCAGAACCAGCACCAGCACCTCCAAATGAATAGCTGCTGTGCCCAGCTAGGTTTCTATGGTGGGATGTTAGCTTAAATGAGAGCATAAAGAAGAAAACCACCACCATATTCCAGGCAAGTAGCCATAGCTTGCTAATCATGTATATAGCATGGTCTTAGTCAAGCTGTATTGAAGATATAATTTCCTTGAGAACAAAATAAGGCTGTTAAACATTTGAAAACTATAGGTTTTAACTGAAATCGTTACATTGTTGTATTTGTTAGCAGGATTTTAAGAATGCAGTAACTTAGAAGATTACTGTTTAACTTTTTTTAAATTTTATTTTATTTTGGTCTTTCTGAGACAGGGTCTCCCTGTAGCCCCACCTGGCCTGGAACTCACTATGTAGACCAGGCTGGCCTTGAACTCACAGAGATCCACCTGCCTCTGCCTCCTGAGTGCGGGGATTAAAGGCGTGCGCCACCATGCCTGGCTGTCATTGAAAATTTCAACCAAAATAAAATCTCTAGAGTTGCTCGTGTGTAGGTTCTTCAGTGATGTTAATATTATTGTTACTTTTTTTTTATTACTGGTGAGAACTTTTAGTATAATTTGACTTATACATCCATATTTTCATCAGTTCTTATGTTTTCCGTCTTGATCCCCAGTAACTTCATGCATTCTTTAATTTTACTGAGCC